TCTACGGCTGGATGACAGCTTCAAGGCGCTTGTCCTCCAGGTCCTTGACGAACTCCGTGATCGGAGCCGGGCTCACCTGCGCCTCGGTGAGAGCTGCATTAGCAACAAGAGACGAGCCAGAGGCGCGTTGGTATCAGCCGTGGTGTTCATCAAATGGCCATCCATGTGATCGGTGGATGGAAAGGACCACCCTTGGAGCATCCAGCGCACCTTTCTTGTACTCGTCATAGTCTTTGGCGATGGTGGGATACTTAGACAGCCGCTCAAGGCGCTGAGGGCTCTTGAGCGTGGGCTACGAGATCGTCGTGAGTCGGGAAAGCAATGTAAACGCGTTAGATGAAGTATAGGTCTTCTTCGCTGGCGGGAGTGGGTGGGCAAGTGTAGTGAATAGAATGTAGAGTGTACCATGGAGACCCACTTCGTGCCGGGCGGTTCCTCTTCCTCCAGGGGCGTATCATCAATGTCGGCAAAGTACTCGCTTAGCGCCTCCACCTCCTGCTCAACCTTGGTCTGCAGCCGATTGATTCAAGGGATCGCAGAGAGCGAGCGTCAGCAGATTTGCAGTGCGCACACAACACCACACACACGACACACGACACACGACACACGACACACGACACACGACACACGACACACAAAGAGAGAGAGAGAGAGAGAGGTGGCGCACGTTGATCGCGTTCTCGTCAGCTTTCACCTTTTTGGGAGACCTCTTCTTGGGCGACTTGGCGTTGCCGCTGGTCTTTCGCTTCTTCGTCTGCACACCCCGATCCCCGAAGTCCTCATCCTTCTCGTCGCTGTCTGCCTCCGCCTCCTCTTCATCGCTTTCCTTCTTCGCCTTGCCACTCTTCTTCTTCTTCGTGTCGGCTTTCTTTCCCTTCTTCGGCTTCGCTTTTGCCTGCTTCTGCTTCTTTCGGCTGCGTCGTTCATCCTCCTCCTCTTCTTCCTCGTCTTCTTCTTCGCGCTTGGCTGCGAGCCTCCCTCGCGTCTTCTTAGCGGCCTTGGCTGGGTCGAAGCGCCTGGTGGGCGGCGGCTTGCGAGGCGATCTTCGAGGTGTCTCGCCAGCGCCAGCATCGTCATCTTCAGAAGAAGGAGCCGTTACGGTCAAGACGGGGGCAGTGGGAAGGGATGTGCCCCTCCTCTTGCGCTTGGCGATTCGCTTCGGTTTGGGTGCGGCATCTTCGGCCTTCTTCTCCTCTTCGGAATCACTGCCAAATTGGAGCTTCCTCTTGGGGCTCACGCTCTTCCCTCGCTTTCGCAACTGATGGACTCCCCCCTTGGGGCTGCTGGGCTCGGGCGTGTCGAATGCCGCGGCAGGCTTGGTCTTGGCCTGAGCCGTCGTCACCGGCACGATCTTCACCGAGGGTGCCGCGGCCTCCACTTCCTCCTCGTCCTCGCTACTGTCCTCCTTGGGGTTGCCAAAGATGGCCCCCAGGTCATCGTCGGCGTTCATTCTTTGTACAATGTTGCAAATGTGCCCCGGGTAGCCGTTGGTCCTGTGGGAAAATCAAAATAAATGGCTATTCGTGTGAGAAGAAATTGGCATGGAGCAGCCGACCAACACTGAGGGGGCGGGCCAGCACAAGCAAGACCTCGGGGTGGTTCCGGACCTCGAGGAGGCCCTCCAGCACTTCGCCCACCTGGTGGAGGTCTACTACGATTCAACCGCCCTCTCCTCTTCTGGAGCAAAGCAGGAAGATGAGCCGCACGCCCTGCTGCAGGCGGTCTTGGATGTCTACGAGCAGTGCAAGGGCACGGCCGGAGGGGTGGTCGTTGTGGGTGCCGCGGCTGCAGGGCGGAGTGGGCGGGAGCACCTGCAGCGGATCGGATTTGTGCCGCTTACGAGCCCAGAGGGCAAGAGCATGAGGCTGGTCTACCACGAGCACCTGGCGGCGTACGAAAGCGCCAAGAGCCGTGCGCGAAGCGAGTACCACGCCAAGAGGGCACAGCAGCACGAGGCCGACTTCATGGGAGAGCTCGCTGGTATCTTCGATATGCGACACATCGTTTGCAACGACGACAATCCGCACGAGACCCTGTTCTTCCCCGAAGAAGAGGACGACGGGGAAGAACACCGCCGGACTTCGTCGCCCTTGCCTCAAGCAAAGGCCTCCGTTGCAGCGTTTGTACAAAAGTATCACAAGGTCCGTCACTCATCCATTCTCCTATCGATCTTCTGCGCAGTCCTGATCGTTCGGCCCATTCACGGCGTGCAGGTGGTGGGCACGACGCCCTTCTTGAAGGGACTACGGCGAATCTTGGAGCAGCAGGTGGGACAGACCGTTGCGCTGCAATGGACGCTCGCCATCAGCGTGTTCACGGAGAGTGGCGGGCCGGCATTTCTCTCCGAGGCACTTGCACTCATGCACGTCCTTCGATTTCGGCCGTTGAAGCTCGTTCACATTGACGGTTCTCATCACCATCCCTGCTTTCATCAGTGTTGAGCCTGCAGGCTCAAAAACTGACCGCTCATCAACAGATGGAATGGTGAGTGTGACCTGGCGAATGTGCGCCGACTTGAGCGACAAGGACATCACGAGCCTCCTTCGCGCCGGCCTGACCAACAACAGCCTGAAGAAGATGCCCGGTTCACCAACGGGCACCGTCGCCGTTAGCGACGTGCAGCGAAGGTTGCCTCCCGCTTCATCCGGCGGAGGAGAGGCAGCTCCCCCAGCTCAGGGACTCAAGATGCTACTTCGCAAGATGAAGATATCCTCGTAGTCAGCGCCAACTCATTTTCCCGTGAGAAATATGATAACGCTAACCACCAGCTGGTGAGAGAGAGCATGAATCAGGTGGTCCACCAGGTAGCCCAAGGATAGAATACTCAAGGGATCGCTTCTCCTCCTTCGGCCCCTTTACTTTGAGCCGGGAGGCCAAGCGTGAGAGGCGAGCAATGTAAAGTAGACGGAAAAGCGAAGTGAATTCTGGCGGTGTTTGCCGCAGAAAGGCCAACACGCATCGCCACCTCGGGTCGACGATAGAAAAAAGCGCGCTTCTGGATCGTTTCTTTTACTTCAACACAAGCAACGCATCAACTGCCCATATCTCCCCTAACAACCTTCCTCAACCCCAAATCCACAACTTCACAATGGAAACGGTATGTCGCGGGTGCCGAAGTAATTGGTGAAGATTATTTTGGCATCTTGTCTCATTTGTGTATAAACTGTTGGCAACAGCCCAACACCCAGGTTTACGTCACCAACATTTCGGCCAGCGCGAGCGAGAAGACCGTCACCGATTTCTTCTCCTTCTGCGGCAAGATTAACTCCATGACCCTGCGCACGTACGTCTTCCCGGCGATCCGTTCTTCTTCGTTCGAATTGTCGACACATGCATTGATTTTCGCTTACGTTTTCGCACGTCTCATCTTTGATTCCTCTTCAGGCTTGAGGGTGGCGCTAAGGAAGCCGTCATCGAGTTCCAGACTGATGCCGCCGCCAAGACCGCTCTTTTGCTCACCAACGCCTTGATCGTGGACAGGTACGCCAAGACTTGCTGATCTAGCTAGCTAGCTAGAAGAAACAGGCTGGGATAATGACCATTTCCTGTCTGGTTTTGTGCTCTGCAGGCCCATCACCGTTGCCCCGTACACTGGTGCGCCCCTTCAGAAGATCAGCGAGGAGAAGGTCGAGCACGAGACTAAGGTCTCCGGCGACCAGATCAAGCACCAGGAGCACAGCGTGCCCGACCAGCAGCGGGTACCATCTAGCTCGGCGCCTCGTGTGCGTGACATTCCCTTTTGAGAATTGAGTAGCGCTCGTGCTGACGCCTTTCCAGTCTCAGACGTCTGTCATTGCGTCTATGATTGCTGCCGGCTATAGCATGGGTGCTGACGCTGTCGACAAGGCCCGTGCTTATGATGGTAAGAAGCACTTTCGCATGGCCCTTCAGCCGGTTGTGGCGTAGTAGACTCACTTTTTGTGTGTGTTCACCATCACAGAGCAACAGGGCATCACGCAGACCATTCACGCCCAGACCGAGGCCCTGAAGGCCAAGGCTCAGCAGATCAACGAGCAGTACAAGATCGGCGAGACCGCGTCGGCTTGGGGTAACGCCGCCTACGGTTGGTGGTCTGGTGTCGATCAGGCCCTTGGCATCTCTCAGACGGCCACCGCCATCAAGCAGAGCAGCGCTGCCGCTGCCCGAGCGGTACGTCCTACACTCTTCCTCGCGCCAGCTTACCACGCCATGGTGTCTCACAGCTGCTTGCTCCCCCCCCGCCCGGCGATAACAGATCAGCGAGAGCGAGGCGGCCCAGGCTGCCGGTGAGACGCTGGAGGTCGCCAAGGAGGCCATCGTCGGTGCTGCCGATGCCGTTAAGACCAGCACGACCCGCTTCATCGACGAGCAGCCCGCGCTCAAGGCCGCCTCCACCAAGATCCAGGAGACCACCAACGCCATGAGCAGCGAGGTCAAGGGCGTGGCCGACGAGACGACGCGACTCATCCGCGAGAGGGACCAGGCCAAGAAGGCCGGTCCCTTCGATGGCATCGACGAGCAGCGACCCGCCGCGACGGAGGCCCAGCCCGAGGCGTCGGAGGCACCTGCCCCGGCCAAGCCCCAGGACACCGTCTCCCTCTAAGCTCACAAGCCCGCTATGAACGCCCGAGAGCGCGAGAGTGTTCTCTATGTCATCTCTATCCTCTTTCACCTTGTTTATAGTCTACCTCTGCTCAAACGCAAACAACAAAGAGAGCTCGCCCCGCTTCCCCCTTCTCTACCCTCTTCCTCGAATTTATTTTCTTTCACAATCAAACAGACATTTCTTGTCGGATGCAATGGAGGTCCAGGACGAAGGAGGCCAGTCGGCACTACATCAGCCCCAAGATCTATTCCTGATGCAGGAAACGGAAGTGGATACAAAGACCTGGCTGTGCGCCCCCCAAAATCCATCCACACAAATTTATACGTTAATCTCATTGAGGGGCTCATCTTATCCGATTTTAGAGATGACACACACCTCAAGTGCAACGCTTGCAAGCTATGGAAGCCCAAGAGTACATTCCCTCTGTCCAGCAGCGTGCTTCCCATTATGATTAACCAATCTTCCAGGCGATGTGGTGGTCACAAGAGATCTGCCATTAGCTGGGGATTGGTGCTATGCCTTCAAGTGTAGCGATTGCACGGGTGGCACAGAAACGTTTGAGTTTCTGCCTCGCAGTTGGTTCGTAATCATTTGCCTGCTGCCTGCATTTCTCTGACATAAGAACTCACACCTCAATCTCTGTGCAGGATGGACATTGTACAGATTGTTATCTATAACCTTCGTCTGCGGCGGGAGGATGAGCTGTTGGCCGAAGGGAAGGAAGTGGCCAAGGACAAGATGTTCTTTCGGTTCAAGGAGGACATATGCTACTTCATCGACAAGAACTGGGGCCGTGTCTGCTTTGGCAAGTCTCGTACGTTCTTCTTTCCCTTTGTTCTGTACACTCCAGTCTCTCTCCCGTCGTGCCCGCGGTTAACCTTGCTTGAATGCGATCAGGCACGGTAACGTGGAACAACACCATCGGCAGCTCGCTGTCCTCACACCCTGAGCTGTTCGTGTCCGGCTACAATTACTACAAGCAGTCGGGCTTCTGGTCCACTGTTAGCCCCAACAACCCAACCATTGGTGCTGGTGCGCACACCTTCTCCTATGTGAGCTAGATCGTCGCCGGTTGACCTAAGCAATCATTTGCCGTGCCTCAGGCGGAGTGAGTGTAGATCGATCGAAGCGGCTCAAGGAGAGGAAGGCGACTGATTCTACGAAGGAACGCAAACCCTCGTCGAAGAAGAAGCGGCGACCAACCGAGGTCAATCCCTGGGTCGACAAGAGAGCAAAGGCCAAGCCCAAGAAGAAAAAGAACAAGATACCCAAGGCCGCTCCGCCGGTCTTCTTCGCCGGGCCTTTGTTTTATGGTACGAGCTCGTCGCCTCAACGATCGTTGCCGCCGCTCCCCTCGATACTCACCCCAAAGCCTGGCCTACGCAGAACCCGATGGCAAGTATCGAAAGATGTGTATGGCCAAGGAAAACTCGGCGAGGCAGGCGAAGATAGGAGCTGACCTGCTCACCGTGGAGAACGAGAAGGTCAGTTCCTTGCAAAACATGCACGCACGTTTCCTTTCCTAAGTGAGACCCGAACGCTTACTTTTTGGTGCTGCGTTCGATGCAATGCAGGGATATAGGATGGTGCGCGCGGCCTATGGAGCTCATGAGGGCTGCTGGTTCTTTGAGGTGGTCATCAACCAGCACTCGGGCAACACACGGTGCGTGGGACGCCCTATGGTGGCTCGATAGTTCCCTTTGTGTTAACGGAGGACGTTGTGCGCAGACTGGGATGGTCGACAGAGAAGGGAGACCTGCAGGCTCCTGTGGGGTATGATGGCTTCAGCTTCGCCTACCGCGATAAGGAAGGGACCATTTTCCACCAGTCTCGAGGGCGCACACACCTGGAGCCTTACGGTACCATTCCTTTCATCGCGCCAGCAGGCATGCACCTACTCCGCTTTGTGTGTCGGCTAATCGACGTTGGTGTGTCTCAAAAGGGCCGGGCGATGTCATTGGGTTCTACATACGGCTGCCACCAATCGGTGAACAAGAACCAGGTACACTCGCCCCATGTCTTCGGTCAGAATAATGCGGGAGTTCTCATTGAACCCCCTGCATGCGCATGACGGCAACTTTCAGTCGAGAGCGCGATCAAACCAGAACCTACGCCCGCACCACCACCGCCAGCTGCACCGACTTCAGTACCGGAGGCCAGCAATTCGGGCACTGCTGCTGCTGGCGGTGCCGCGAGCCCTGCCAAGCTCAACGCCGGTGCCGACTCCGCGACGGTGGGTCCGGGCGATACGTCGCCGCGCGCGACCGCTCCCGTTCCTGGCCCGGAGGAGCCACCCAAACCCGGTCCGCCGCTTCGGCACACAGAAATTCGGTTCTACAAGAACGGGAGGTCGCAGGGGCCGGTCTTTGTCGATATGCTCCCCGCTGGTACGCGAGCTTCCACCATCACATGTACCGGCAAACCCTTACGCTGTCTGGGAATTGCACACGTGCAGGCACCTACTACCCGGCGGCGTCCATGTACAACTCGGCTTCGGTGACGTTCAACTTCGGACCCGACTTCAAGTACTCGCCGATGGACGTGGGCACATTCATGCCGTGCACTCGCTTGGTGCAGGTGTTTGACGAACTCCAGGAAAAGCGCAAGGCCGAAGCGGAGGCCGCGGCCGCCATCGCTGCCACCAAGGCCGCCGAGGAGGCAGCCTTGACCGAAGCAGCTGCGGCGCAGCTCAAGGCCGACGAGATGGACTACTCACAGGCACATGCTGCCAGCTCGACGCCTTACGCCCCCGCCGGCCAGCCGGCATCGCCGTACCCCTCCACAACATCGTCGTCATCCTACACTTCACCAGCGTCCACCGCGATGGACGTTAGCCAGGGCCAAGCAGCAGCACCAACTACGGCACCACCAGTGTCGCAGCCTCCGGCTCCGGAAGCTCTCTCGGGCGGCAACGACGCTACCGTTTCCTCTGCGGGACTCTCTACGTCGTCGGCCGCAATCTCACTGCTGCTTAATCCAGCCGACGACGAACCCATGGACGTGGACCCTTTCTTCAAGCCATCCTTCGACGTACGTCCCCTTACACCTCATTCTTCTGGGAAGCTGAACTCACGCACCGCACGATTCTCACATGCGCAGAGCGGGGAGAACCGAGACCGTGGATAAACGCCAGATGGTTTGTGAAAGAAGGTCATTGGTGGTACACATAGACGAAGAAGAAAGCGTTACTGTTCAGTTAAACTGCGGTCGCCACGCGGTACCCCACCTCACGCCGCCCTGGATGGCCGCGCCCATGGCTGCGCGACAAACATGGTTGACACGCGAGTGAGTGTGCGTGCCACTGCGGGCTTTCACAGCGGAGGCCGGACGAATTTCGGCAGGGTTGGCCACCCGCTGGGGGTCGAGCCCGAACACCTCTTCACCTTCTTCACGACGGCTGGCGCACAGCGGCTCATGCCGCCCACCAGGAGCACGGGGGCGCACCTTTCTCCGGGCCAACAGCGTGGATCGATCAGCCGACGACCACCAGCACCACGAAGCCGGCCGGTGAGCCACCAACAACGCGCAGCTCTTCGAGCTTCCTGTGGCATGGAGGACTCACCTGGAGGACCGACTCGCAGGGCGCGACGATGCGGTCGACGAGGGGCTGGGTGAGCGCGTCGTCGTAGGTGTCCCTGGTGAGGCGGTAGATGAAGTATGATGACGTCATGTTGTGCGGCGATGGAGGGCGGCAGCAGGGCGATCTCACAAGCCGGCTGGTGATCGAGCACCTTCTTGGCCGCCTCGGCGCCGTCCCGCAGGCGCTGCACGGCGAGTGCGTCCTGCGGCAGGTCCACGCCCTTCATCTTCTTCTTCTTGAGCTCCTCCAGCAGGAAGTGGAGCAGCATCTCGTCGAGGAGAAAGTTGTCCGAGAAGAATGAACGCGTTGGTGGGGAGTTTAGTTGGATGTTCCGAATCGAAGCGTCTGCCTGAAGAGTGTGACAAGCACCTTACATCAACACATCGTGATGCGCTCCACACGCAGGGGATTGGGAAAGAGATGTCCTCCTCTTCGTGAGCAGGTGCCCCACTCCGGAACATTGTTTTAGGTAGCACCCAACCATTCGAAGACAGAAGAAGAGGCGGAGTGGCCAAGAGCCTCGCCGAGCGCTTCCAGCGAGAACTCCCACCACATCACACCACTTAGAGTTGTAGGTGATGGTGACGGTGCTTGCGGCTCCCGAGGAACCAGCAGCCGCGCGACAATAAGTGGGTGGAGAAGCCCGGCCCGGCCCAGGTGCAACGCGGGCTGTCCTGTCTTGAGGGCTCCCTCAAAGAGGAGCTTGGCTCCGCATGAGCTACCCTCGATCGGGCACGGCCGCACCCGATACCGGTCACTCTCCAGCCCTGACATGTAAAAACACGCACGCACGCACAACTTTGGTTAGACACCAACGCTCATCATTGACTTCCTAATTGATGATGGAGAAGGGCTAGGGCCTTACCTAGCTTGGCGCAGACGGTGTGCAGGGTGCCCAGCAGATCGGGCAGGGTCGGCTCACCGTCGGCCACGACGACAAAGCCCGACAGGCGGAGCTGTTCGGCTTGCTGCGCCTTCCGGCGGAGCACCCGTCGCTGCGTCTGTCGGGGAGACGAGGGGTCCGCTCGGGCCGTCCTGTCCTTCCGCTTGGTCTTGGCCTGGCGAACGAAGGCGCGCTCCACCACGAAGAGCTTGAGCGAGCCATCGACGCCTCCGGGCCTCATCGAAGAGAGCACGCGGGCCAACAGCGAATAGTGGCTGTTGCGCAGGATGAGCGCGTCGTCGCCCGTGCCATCTTCGGCGATTATGACCGCCGCCTGCTTGACGCCCAACGTCGCCTCGCGCTCCTCCTCCGCGTAAAACTCTTCGCGGCCGAGCGACGCCGACGCGACCGATTCGACGTAGCCCGTGCCACGGGGCAGCTCCTCGAACCTGTCTCTAAAGTTTAGTTCGGCGCCCACCAATGTAAGAATGGGCGGCGCGTACCCCATCTCCAGCATCGCTGCCCGCGCCAGGGCCTGCAGGCGGTACATGGGATGGAAGCCGCCCGCCACCACGGCCGGCCTGACCTGCCGGTCAAAGTCATAGCGCTTGAGCTCCACGTCTGCCCACGACCCGCTGCGTCCACAAGCCCCCGCGCCGCATATGCGTCAGTCGGCCGGGCTACACTTCACTCGGGGGCTCCGAGTGGGTGAGCGGTGGGTACCTGGCGATGTGTTGGGCGGTGAGATCGTCGGCCTGCGAGGCCCACTCGGGGGTGAAGCGAGGCCCGCGGCTGATGCGATGGAACGTGAACGAGGTCTGCTCGATGAAGCGTCGCTTCTTCAGCGCGGCGACCTCCTCCTTCGAGAAGGCCTTCACCACCGCGTCTTCCCTGCCGCCGTCGGCAACCCAAGGTGAGGGCATGACACATAAACCGAAGAACGAAGAACGAAGAACGAAGAAGAATGGGAAGAAGAAGACCCAAGCAGAGAGCAAGTAGTAGCAGTACCCGCCATCGTTGACTCCGGCCTCAGATACAAATCGCAGAATGTCCTGGACCCGATCGGTGATGTGCTGCTGGTGCTTGGCTGTCACTTGCACCGTCACTTGCCCTGGACAGACACCAGAAAGAAAGTGGGTTGTGAGATGGTTGCAGGTCCTACATATGATGTGTGTTCGCAGTGTGTGTGTGTGCACCTGTGGCTTTGTCTTTGGTCACCTCCACCCAGCCGTTCTTCTTGGCTTCCATCATGGCGCCCTTGAATATGGGCTCTACCGTTCGCATCTGTCACCAGCAACACCACACAACACGCACCACCGCCCGCCCGCCCGCCCGCACACGCGCGCGCACGCACACGCACACGCACACGCACACACGCACGAATCAGACAATGTGAATTGAGCGTGCGCTGGGCAACGAGGTGGTCTGTACCCCGACTTCCTCGACGGTGAGCGGCGTCGGCTGGTCGCAGCCTCCGCCCACCATGCGCCAGATGCGGGCCTCGGGCGACCCCAGCGCGAGGCACTCCTCGAGCGCCCGCCGCCACGCCGCTTCGTCCACCGCCGCCGCGTCCTTCTTGTTGCCCTTGGCCTTGGCCTTGGCCTTGCTCTGGGCCTTGCCGGCACCACCGTCGGTCGCGGCGGCAGCGGCAGCAGCGGAGGCGGGGCTGCCGGCGAGGGTGTAGCGGTTGGCGTGCAGGTTCTCGCTGCGGATCTGTCCGCTCTTCTGCAGCGGAGAGAGCACTTCCTCCGCCAGTGTGCGGAACCCGATCGAGACCCCGCACCGGCGAAAGAGCGCCGCACTGTCCTCGATCACCTGCATTTCCTCGACCACTAAGTTCAACGCGGAGCCGGCAAGGGCGGTGGGGTGGGGGAGATGGCGGTGGTGGGTCGCACCTCGCACGTGGCAAGCTGGTGTAGGATGAGGGTCATCACGGCATGCGGGTCCGCAGTGAGTTCTGCGTT